ACGTAACTTGCAGACAGTGTTGTAAACACGTCAGAATAATTAACACCTTTAACCTATAACACTTAACCTTTAACCTTTAAACAGAAATACCTATTAAAAATGTTATCAATGACAAATAAAAAAAATAAAACATAACAAAACGTCTATGTGTGTTTCGTGTTTGTCTGCGTACCTCTTCAAAGTCCAAATCATCTGAAACACAATACTCAGTAAAACACCCCCTCCCCACAGGAAAACTGGATAAACTTGCCCACGCTTCAAGATCCGAACCATTTCCCCCTTAACATGAGGGGACACATAAGGGACTGAACAGGAATTACAGAAGGGAGGGCAGATGTGTTTTGGGTAGGATCAATCACTAGGCGTTGTGTAAACACCTGGGACATGGCTTATTAATGGGGGGTGAGTAACAACATGTCTACACATGCAAGAACATGTGTACTACAAATAAAATATTGTAAATTAAGTAATAGCTTCAGACGGCTTCCAATAAACATACGATGTGTTAATAGTTTCACGAAAGTTTGGATTTTGTTTTTGTTTTGCGAACGAACCTGATTTTACAGTATGTGGATTATGCAGTTAATATATGGGATGTATGAGGAAATGTAAAAAAGAACACGTTCAATTAAAAAAAAATTTGCGATATTTTTTGTTATTATTCATTCATTAAAGGTTATAAATATCAAATATTAATATTTGAGTAGTACGTAGCATGAATATTCATTAGTCCCACGTGGATTTAAATTTTCAATATTAATTCGGATATTCACGTAATGTTAAAGCGCGGTAGTCGTCGCGCTGCGCATGTGCGACATTTGTGTTGATAAACATTGATTTTCCCACAATCCAATGCGTTCTTCAAATGGAAATCACAAGTATGAGGTTTGACCTGGGCGCGACTTGCACTGATTACCGACAGTGACTCCTTCGATACCTTCCAGTCGCATGAAAATTACCTAATTAAAGCTTGGAAACGTCTCAGTTTGTACTTGTTGATCTCCGCACCCGGGGTCTGCGCAACAGTCAAAGTCGCCATCTTTGTTTATATGAGACCCATATATCTTAGCGGCGGCACCGGGGGGGGGGGATTCAAGTTAAATCTTCAATATTGATGATTCAAATCCAAATTAATTTAAATCAGATGTGAACCATCAAATTGACGATTTAAATCCACGTCGTGAATGTATTCGGTTTAAGTTCAAAGGCGACACATACATACAAAAAAATGAGAGTTTGTTATGATGAGGTTATCGTGTAAAAGAAATGTTCTAACTCTTTTTTGTAATGTACAGACGAGGAGTGGCGATGGATGCCACGAATGGCGTTTTCTTACGTTAAATGCAACCCGGAGACATATTTTTGTTGACAAATATAAATTAACATAATTGTAAGACGATAAACCGGTGCATAATCAAGGGCACCAAAACTGGTCGTGTTAATGTGTGATAGATTCATACCAAACGACGCCAAGTCGAGGCAATGCCAGAAATACTGTCAGGTTTGTTACGTTTTAGAAACAGAGAGAAAACAAATTCAAATCTCTGACTGTGTTTCCTGCCCATATCACGCAAGGGCCGCCGGGTGACTGGTGATTGCGCCAACAACGTCAGCAATGTGCACCCTTTCGTTTCCCGTGAATCATTGCCTGTAAAATTAAAATGGCGGACACTAAGAAGGAAAACGTGAAGAACGACTCTGAGAAGAAAGAAGAGAAGAAAGATAAGAAAAATGATGAAGAAAAAGAACCTGAACTGGTGAGTAACGTGGTTTATATTAAAGATGCATTGAGAAATATCTGATCCATGTGGAATCAAGAAGATAGTGTGAAAAATACCCTCGAACCGGCATGTGCTTCACACTTCCATTTCGCTGTGTCATTCGTGTACAAATCCATAGATATTTTGCAGCAATGTTTTATCCACTTGTGTCTGCTTTGCATCAGGGTGTATCACTACGATATATTTATTTGACGCATTTTTCAATAGTAGTGAAGGTCAAGTGTGTAATAGTGAAAATGATACATTCTTCGGCGCCTCGTACTTATTATCAATGTATTTATTATGGTGCTTTCATGGGCTTGGGACTTTGGTTCGAATACGAGAGAAGTCGGCCAATCGCCAAGTCGGCCTGCAGGAGAAGTCGGCCAGTCACCAAGTCGGCCGGGCGGAGAAGTCGGCCACTTCAACTCTACTAATAGGCAGGAAGACTGTACAAATCTATGTTCGTAAGCTACAGAGCAAATTGCTGAGTTCATATAGGCTACCTACTTTGCTGCAGTTTAGCAGCTCTTATTGGCCGCTTAAGCTATTTTGATATTACGTTGCGGCCATAGAGCTGCAGATCGCGTCCATTG